TTAAAATCTTCAAGATTTTGATAACCTCTCCAATAATCTGTTACTACTATAGATCCAGGTTTAATATGTTTTGAAACGATATCTCTAATCGTTTCCGCATTTCTTTGATTAACTACCTTAAAGAAACATTTTCTCTCATCAGTTCTTTCAACCCCACCAACGACCCAAATACCTTCAGTTTCCTTTCCCCTACTGAATTTCGACTCATCAATCTCTACAACAATTCCATTACCACCAATAATAGAATCATCATCACTAAGTGTCTCGATAACCATTTCACGAAAATATCTCATATAATTTGAAATCGTATGTGTGCAGTAATTGGTCATGTTTAAAATAGTTGTGTAATTCGCACCACACAACCAATAATATCCTATGAGCATTATATCTGAACATCGAAGATGACTTTTAGTGAAAAATGTATTTTTAAAGATAGAAACGGACCTTCGACATCGACGATTTACACATGTAAAAATTTTTTTGTAACGATAAATAGGAGAATTACATAAAGTGCACGCATCTGGTTTTACCAAAATTTCTTTCTCGATTAAAAAGTCAATACACCTTTTTTCATTATATAAATTTTTTCTTAACGACTTCAAAGATGGAATTCTCATTTTTTTAAAAAATTAAATAATCAAGTTTAAATTTGTATCTATTTATACAGATTAAAAATTTTTATTAAAAGAATTCGAAAAAAAAATATATTTTACATGATTCTATCAATACTACAGTAAAAGCACCCTTTAGTTACTGAATAATATCAGTATCCAGGTTACGCGACGTGGATGCAGATGCTTTGGTAATCCAGTCCTCAACTTGTATAATTAAAATACAAATATCATTGAACCCTTGTATGAAATAAACATCTAAAAGCTTAAAGAAACAAGCGAATGATGCGGTGTAGTGGAAGTAACCCGTTGAGCGCTCCCTATCCATTACAGCCGGCCCACTAAGCATACTCAGTGACTACCGCATCATCCATAATGAATCCAAGAACTTATATAATATTATAAATAAAATACAATTTGAAATACAAACCTTTAATTAAGTTGAAAGGAGGAAAAGGTCCTATCAAATGGTGTGGGTACAGGAATTCCCAGTAAATGGAACCGTCTTTCCAGATTAGTTATTCTATTTCTCAGGTTCGTATTTTCTAGATCCAACTCTCTATTACGATTGTGTAAACCACGAGCATCACGGAGTGTCTCTAATAACATCCGTAGACCTGTTATCTCTTGTTCTAAAGCTCGTAAATCTGTCACCTCCTGTTCTAAAGCTCCTATCCTCTCATCATAATGCGCTTGACAACGGATGTACTGATTAATTTGACGTTCCAAGATTCTCACCTATCTTGAAGAAGTGCGATAGTTTCCCATGATGGGTCCCTGAAACCTAAACATGTCTGACGCCTAATTCTCGCTAAACGGTTTTCTCTAGGCATAATAAAAAATTTAACCGGAGTCTTATTTTTCTTTGATCGTATTTAAATCAAAAATGAAGAATGTTTCGGAATCTTATAGAATCTTTTTTGATAAAGTTTCAGCTCATACTTCTGCATAATCACCCCAATACTTGGACTATTCTCATGCAAAACGTTTATGGTTATCATTCAAGATCCAATTATGGAAAAGTGAATCTCAAGATATATACATACTATCATATCAAACCGTTTATTCAAATATCAAGATCTTCATTACAGTATAATCTATTATTTAAAATTATTGTGTAATAACATATCTATAATATTAATTTTGAAGTGATAAAGATTTTAATATCTACATAAAGATATAATATGAGAATAAAATAAAAGTGATAAAAAACACTTTAGGTAACTTTAATACGTTTACTTTCGAAACTTATGAGATTAAGAAGGATAAAGAAAATTTTAAAATATCTCACCAATATTCTTTATCCTTCTTTAATTTCACAAGTTCTTTTTCATTTTTTCTAATCTCGTAATTCGAATCTTGATATGAAAAAGAACTTGCCCAATTAAAGAAGGATAAAGAATATTGGCAAAATAATTGAAGTTATTAAATTCTTAATAAACAATTGAATAATATTTAAATTGGTTCTCCGTTATATTGGGATATTGACTTTCTGTCATGTTGAGATATTGACTTCTTGTCAACGCTTAGATATTGATCGTTTGTCGATACTGAGATATTGACTTTCTGTCATGTTGAGATATTGACTTTTTGTCAATGCTGAGATATTGACTTTTCGTTTTTAATAAAATGAGATAATTATTTATATTCGTAATTTTGATTATAATATGGGATATCACCCAAAATAAAAGGTTGATTATAAAAATAATAAAGTAATAATACCGATTGAACATATTATTTCGTCCTTTCAGGATACAATTACTCTATCTTAAATAATAAATTAATTATGCATATCTATATAAAAAAAATTTTAAATCAATTTTTCATAAACACCAATCGGAAATTAATTCCCTAAAAAATCTCATATAAATAAGTCTTACCATCCACATTTTTTTTTCAAAAAGTCCAAAATGGAATCCGATACTGATTCTCAAAATTCCTTCGATTCTCAAGAAACTATAACTTATAAAGTTGATCGTTACAAAAGAAAAATAAAAAATCCGCAGACGACAAATGGCGATAATGGCGCTATTGCACGAGTAGTCATCTATGAGGAGTACATGCGCAATCCTGCATCATTGAGAAATGTGTTTCACGAAACGCGGCCCTATCCAGAATTGATTAAAAAAGTCAGATCTTTAAATCTTGACTACTCGACGATCTTGATGCCGAATATCAGAGTAACTTGGAAAGGGGGTGTAAAAGATTATTCAAATTATCCCTTGTATAATTATTTACATATTTGCGAGAGAGAAATGTGTAACATAATGCGTTTAACTCCCCAAAAATATCTCCAATGTCTGTATACAATTGTAACAACCTTTCGCGAACTCAAAGACACATTTAAGCGAAGTCAAGCTAAAAAAATTTGTGATATTGATGTGAATAAGATAAGTGTATTATATGAAGTTCTTGAAGGATTTGGATGGGTTTAATTAATTTATTATACATCTTGTAATAAATTTAAATTCGTGATGTTAATCCTATAATAAGAAATATATTATCGAATAAAAAAATCGAAATTCCCCTCAATATTATTACAGCATCTCCGAAGTCCTATAACTCTTCATCAACTATATATATATATATAATAATGTGATATTAATCCTATAATAAGAAATATATTATCGAATAAAAAAATCAGAATTCCCCTCAATATCATCACAGCATTCCCGAAGTCCTATATAACTATTCATCAACTGTGTATATATATATAACATACTTATGATAGTATGACAAACTCGTTTGACAGAGATTTCATAACTTCAATTCACAAAATTGCATAAGTTAAAGGAGCAATGAAGGAATAATAAAGTAAAATCAAATTTGATATTATCACTTACCATTTATTATCCTCAGTAGTTTTCTATATAAATTTAAGTTAGAATATTTTTAAATATAATTAGATGAAAATATAATTAGATAACATACGATAGAAATGGTTACAATATCCTCTACTTTTCTCAGGCAGCAATGAGACATCACGAAAAATAAAATATAAATTATACCAATTGAATCATAGAATAAGTATGTTGAAGGCATCGAAAGTAAAAATATAAAAATGAAATGATAGCATTTAACATTCGATAAAAAAAAATCAGGATCCACCCGAAATGCAATACACCATTCTCGAAGTTTCATATGAGCCTCTACTGACTGCAAATACATAAATGCCATAAATATAATAGCATAATAAACTTGCTCAACAGGAATTTCGCAGCTTTAATCCATAGAATCGTTAAAGAAATAATAAACAAAAATCAAACAATTAGATGTTAATATTATTACTACTTACCGTTTACCATTTTCAGTTTTCTATTTTTATATAATCTTATATTAGAATATTTTAACGTAATTGAGATATATAAAAGTGCGATAACTTACGATATAAATGGTTACAATATCTTTTATCGTTTTCAGGTAATGATACGATATCGCAAAGAATAAAATGTAGATTATACCGATTGGGTTATAAAATGAGTATGCCAAAAGTATCGGAAATATAAATACAAAAATAAAATATTTCTTGTTTGATAAAGATGTCTCATTTGACAAAGATGTCTCGTTTGGCAAAGATGTCTCGTTTGACAAAGATGTCTCGTTTGGTAAAGATGTTTCCATGATCTAAATATTTTAATAGTCTGAAAAATTTGTCAGAAAAATTATTCCCAAATCCAAGATGCGAAATACCATTTTTAAATAAAAGCTTATCACTTATCTGTTTACGCTCAATTCTCGATTTGAAACATGTTTTCACACAATCTCTCGTATCTAAAATGAAAATAACATTGTTATGAGTACAATGCGTTAATAAAGGTATTATACTTCCAGCATTCACGTAACGCAATCGCAGCACCGCATTGCGCAATCGCAGCGCCTCATTGCGCAATATTAACGTTGAATCTCAAAATGGCCATATAAAAGATTCAGCCTTCGCCTTATACAATCTCAATGGCAAATCTCAAAATGATCATATAAAAGATTCAGCCTTACATCATACGATGTCAACACTGAATCTTAAGATAACCATGTGAAAGATTTAACTTTCGTCTCATACAATCTCTGATAAATCTTGAAAGGGATATTCAAAAGTAAGAAGGTAGTAATACGTCTAACTCAAAAAATAATTGTATATAATGAAAAAAAAAAAAAAAAAGATTATCTTGGGCGTACACAATTAAATGCATAATGATGCGCAGTCATTGTACTTGTAGTAGTTAAACGTATGATGATGCATAACTGATACACAAAATCCAATTGGATCTCAAACGGCAATCCCATGCTGATCAATTTTTGGGATATAACAACCCGTCATTTTTTTTCTCAAAAATTTTACCTCTCCGAAAATTTTTTTTTCACCTATTCCAAATTCGTTACTTTATCCTCTCGTGATTTTGATTTCTTGCCAATTTTCTTATTACGAGAAGGATTTTTTTTTTATTTTCATAAAATCGGATAAATCTAAACGGAAAATTTTTGATATGTTAAGTTTTTTCTCTTTTTCGTGATCATTTATGAAATTTCAATATAACAGATTCACAATATTTTCTCATTTTTTTAGAAATAATTCGATCGCTGGAGCGGTTGGATAAATCTAAATGGAAAATTTTTGGTGATGTATTAAAATTTTTCTTATAATCATTTCTGAAATTTTAATATAACAGATTCACAATACCTTTTCATTTTTTAGAAATAATTTAATCGTCGGAGTGGTTTTTATAATCACTTGTTGAAATAATTCGATCATTGGAGTGGTATACATTTTCATTTTGCAATCACTTGTTTGTCTCAAAAATACATTTATCCGCTCTCGAAGATTTCAGTCATCCGGGCCGCTGGTGTGACCCACAACGAACTCGTCACGAACTGGAGTGACATTCATCGATCTCCTTATGAACTCAACTAGTGATATGAAGGATGCCTGAAATATCGGCGACACTATCTATCACCCTGTAGTTACAGCTTAATGTAG